TTTAGTTTTGATGCAAAAACGCATGATCGCACCGGCTCGCCTGGTGCGTTCCAGCCTTTGTTTCACTTGATTGTAGACTGTGCAACGTGCACCGCGATATCCAACCGAGCAGAGGCATTTCGAAGAAATCAGAGGCGATGTGAAAATCAAAGAGGTTCGAATTCGCTTTGAAAATTACACAAATTCATTTTTAAGCAAAACACTTTTCGCTTGGTGCATTCCAGGAAGTTGCGAAACGAAACGACGCATTGGTGGACAACATGAGCAAAATAACAATAACCTCGTCGGAGCCGAAAGATCGCTGGATGCCGGCCAAGTATGCGTTGATATTAATCGACGGCATGTATTATCAAGCACATGCATGCATTTTGCAGGGAACTGCCATCCGCAGAATGGGTGCGCAGAAACGATCACATCTGGGAATATGGATTCTACGAGCCGCCGCCCGAGAAAATAGCAAAAGGCAAATTGACATTTCGCGAGGCGCTTGAGGTGAGTTGCTCATGCTTCGGGATAAGGGCCGTTTTGCGGGGTGGTGCTGAGCAGTGCTTTGCAGGTACTGCGAGCTCGTTGCGACTGGGAATTTGCGTTAAAACTGGATGACAAACGCCGCGATATTTTACTGCCGCAGATTGCAGAAAGCCTGGAAAAGCATCCGGTATGTATCGCGCAATGCATTTTTTTCAATACGACTTACTCGGGCCCGATTCAACCATTTTACCAGTGCTTTTAGGCGACGCAGCGTGTTGAGAAGGAAGTGCTGGAGAGAGTATGGGCATATTTTAGGCCGTTCGAACGAAAAGAAACGCAATATGTATGTTCTTCTTTCTTGCAATAACATCGAAGTTTCACATTTCCATTATTGTATTTGGCTCAGTTGCAATTCTTGGTTTGCTTCTTCAGTTACGTGGCTCAGTTACTGATACATGATGCCTTTTTATGCGTTTTGTGCTGTGTAACAGCGTTACAAGCCGCATATTGTCACGGAGATGTCTGTGTGTGTGTGTGTGTGTGTGTCCGCAGCAGCTTGTCCGCAACTTTCAACTCGGGAACCACAAAA